GCACAAGGTCACAGATCTAATGCCATGTTCTGAACATGAGACCCTGGTCAAGATTCAGTGCTGCCAGAGTCATGCTCAAACATGCAGGGGACGGAATTAGAAGCAATTTAAAAGTCACCAAACACCAACTGGTAATCTGAGCCCATGCTGTGTAATTTCGCTATTCCCCAAGTTCAAATTCCTATTTAATAATAAAAAAGAGATAATAGGACACATCCATATTTACAAGTGTAGCCTCATATCTGCTTGCTTTGTCCACAGCCAGGAATCTGGGTGCTACAAGGAGAGTTAAAATCCCCCTCGGGAAAAGAGCAGGCCCGGCTGCCCCATTTCTGCTCAGAGAATCTATTTCTCTCTTTGGCAGTAGATGGGGAGGCTGACTGGACGTCACTTTGTCTTCACTCATGGGTCTTTAGCACTACAATTTCCCTCCAGAGGATTTATGTTGCAGGTGCCACACTTTTTGCCACATGACATGGCTCTCAATGTGCACAAAGTTGGAGCCCTGGGCTGGGACCCCTGGACTTTGAGGATGTGGACTTTGAGGACTCCATATTGGACATCCAGGGTGAGTCCTGGAATACAGATGGCAGGGGGCGTGTTACAGAGAAATCTACCACCACCATCTTTTCTTTGTGACTCGGGTCAAAATTCAGGGAGCTCCCAAGCAAAGAGATAAGCCTTGTAATAATTAAAAGGATGGTAGTGATGACAGTTCACATTGGTTAGCTAATATCACTAAACAGTAATATAATGTATATGTAATAATATTATTAGCTAATGTTATTTAATAGTTAATAGTGTTAACAAGGTGGACACTGTTTTAAGGATTAGCTCAAGTAAGACTGACACAAAGGGATGTGTGGAGAGGCCTTCATTAAAAGAACTGACCCCAGGTTCTCAGAGGCGGTTGGAGTGGGGAGAGGTCATTTCAGGCTGGACCTCCCAGAGAGGTTCTTTAAGTGACTGGGATTCCAGCTGGACCTTAAAGGGTGGGCAGGATTTGGAAACCACCTGGAACAGGGGCCCCTTTCTCCAGATACAGCAGAAGCTCCCCAAGGACAAAGTCTGCATCTCCTCTTTCCCTCTTCCCTGCCACTCTGCACTGTCAACTACACTTCCTGAATGCAGAAAATGTCTTCATCCTTCCTTAGAGCCTCACCCAGTGCCCAGCAAATGTGTGTTGGACTAAAGGAGCTGCATGCAGCGGCCCCTTGATTGGGTTATGTAAGCACGACCGGTTCAGGTTCAAACCAGACCAGCTATGGTGGAATTCATCAGGGCTGTGCTTTAATGTTTCCCTGGCACAAGCCTGAGACTTTGCCTTCACCCAGGCCGGGACTCAGGAAGGACACTTGGATGTGGAGGGCAAAGGCGGAACCTCCTCCTGAAGAAACCTCTGCTGGAGGCCTGAGCAGGACACATTCGGAGGGCACCGAGGGGCAAGGGCACCCTGGGAAGGCCCCAGGCTTTGCAGCATGTACTGCTGTGGCTCCTTACGCTCTGTGGGATCCAGCACCCCCAAATTTTGGCTAGGCTTCTAATTAGCTGCTTATACTGCTCAATTTCTAATAATAGCTGCCCTGTAGGGTTATTAGAAAGATTGGAGATTATAGCTATAGACATATTGCAGGATATAAGAAAGTACGAACTAGTAAATGTTACTATGGTTAATTTTGTCTAGAAGAGAAACAACTGTTGGAAGGGCAGTGCTGTGCCCAGCAATTAACACCAAAGGGAAAAAAAATCATTTAGGGCCAGAGGAAATTCTGGCACCCGCGACTTTCATTAGGGATTGGGGGAATAGTAGCCAGGAACTTTCAGGGTTCTGGGAGCTATGAGGGCAGCCTTCTGGAGAATGTCCCTGCTCTCACTAAATTCACAAATTTGGTGCTAGAGGCCTGCTGTCGCAGATGCCAGATCACAGATCCATACCTACAGCACCTCCCACCCCCACTCATGCCCCAACACCCTGTCCAAAGTGGAGCTCAGGGCCTTTGCATACTGTTTGCCTCTATCCCTGGGACAGCTCTTAGAAGGCTCCTGTTTAGGGCAGCTGTTGGGGTTGAGGCATGGAGAGGGCAGAGGGAGTGTTGCTGTGTGGCCTTAAAGGGCCATCACCCGGGAGCCTGCTCAAGATTTTCTCAGTATTCAGAGAGATCCACACATCTACCCTACCAGATGCCCCCGTGGTTGTTCTCTTCTTCCATCTCCTCACTTCCTACAGGATCCAGTCCAGAACCACCCACCATCCAAATCTCTGCTTCCCATCTGTGCTCTTCTTGAAATACTCACTCCTCACACTGCCTCTCTCTAGAGTCCCTACACAGAGTTAAGGCATTGGTAGGGTTCAGGAACACAGCCCCAAACAATGGCACTTTGTCGTATTAAATATTTGAAGCTGAAAAAATTTTGAAAGATGCTAGAAGCAAGAAGTTCACTCCGACCTCACACCCTTCCCTGAAACAGGTCATAAAACTTTCATGTGAAAGGTACTCTCCTTGTACCAAGAGGAGGAAAGTTGTTTTTATTACCAGAGATGGGGAATTTGAGCCGAAAAATCTATATAAACAAACCTTGTTTAACTAACCCTTATCTTCCTAGTTACTTCTTCACCATTTACTACTCCTAGCCTAATCTTTGTCTTGTCAATTCTTCACAAACTTATTGTTTCCTTGTCTAAAAAGTATGAAAACTTTCCTGCTCTGGTCACTCCTTCAGGTCTTTATTCTCTTGTGAAGGCTCCCATGTACATGTAAAAATTCAATAAAATTTGTATGTTTTTCTCCTGTTAATCCTTGTCAGTTTAATTTTCAGACACAGCCACAGATCCTAAGTGAATCAAGGAAAACTTTTTCCTCCCTTATAGCACCAAAGGGACAGAACTCATGGGAAGGAATGCTTTTGAAGAGGCGATATCTGGAAGGGGTAAATCAGAACAGAAATACCATGTTGGTGTCTAGGGGACGGTGCTGAAGCCTTTTCTTTCCCATTTCTTTCCTTCTTTCCCAAGGGTTGGTCCTCATACTGGGTAAGAATTGCTTAAGATTAAAGCTGTTGATTGGTCCATGGTGCTAGCGGCATTGTCCATCTATCTCCAATGACTTGGCTCAGGGTTATTTTTTATTTTACTAAAGAAAATACTCATTATCATTCCCTTTCTCTTGTTCTTCCCTCACCCTTTCTTCCAGTTAATTTGCTGTTTTCCTATGACAAACAATTCCTCAAATTTTATCTTTTTGGTCATTATAGTTATTTCCCTTCAGCAAGAAATATTACCAAAAGCATATGTAAAAAAATAACTTGCTTTTGTCAAGGAACAAACGGAGACAGAGCACCAAGGGAATTTAACCTAAGCTAACCTTACTGGAGTTTACAGCTCTTCTCAGGAAATCAGCAGAAGACAACAGCCAATCCCCAAACACCAAGTCTGTTCACGTCTCTGGACTTCCTTCTTCCTCTGATCAAGCTACTCTGATCTAGATTAAGAGAGAAGACCACTGGGCAACCAATCAGCTTTAAAAGCCAAGTAACTTCTTTATTTATCCCATAAAAATCTGTTAGTCTGGGAGCAACTCAGAACTTATTACTCCCATAGCCTTGAGTTAGCTGGCTTGCAAGCAGAAAGCCTTGCAATAAAACTATCTTTCTGCTTTGTTTACTTAGTGTGCAGTTTGGTTTTTGACAACAGCATAGACCAGAGCTTTTCTCACCGAGTTTACATACTTTCATTTTAATTGGGGATAGATGAACAATAAACAAATAAGTCATGTATCAATGGCTCTAAAGAGATTTAGATCATGGCTCTAAAGAGATTTAAAATTTTAAGTAGGATGATTGAGTAGCCACTTTAGAAGGTCTGGCAAGGCCTCCCTGAGTGGGCAGGCAACAGGTTAGGGTTAGGATTGGGTTAGGGTTCAGCTTTCAAGCTGCAATCTGAAGATGAAAAAGAGGCAACAATGCAAAAGTCAGGGAAAATAATTTTCCAAGCAGTGGGGGGAGAAAGTGGAAAACAAGGTGGGTGAAGAGGCACAGATCATGTAGTTCTTTGTAAGCAAGCATAAGGATTTAATTCTCCAAGCAAAAGAGAAACTATTGGTAGATTTTAAGAAAGGGAGCAACATAACTGTAATTGAAAAATATATAAACTTTTAAAATGGGAGCAACATAATCTAGATATACTTTCTGTCGTTTTTCCTAGGTGTTTTGGAAGCTGTGTAGAGAAGACATTTGGGAGATGAGGCCAATTGAGGGGTGAAGCCAAGTGGGAAGCAGTGGTCTGACCCACAGATAATTTCTGCTCAGACTGAGGTGGTGTTTGTGAAGAGAAGATGAATCCAATTTTGGAAGTTGAGTCAAAAGAATTTGCTGATCCATTGGATGGAAGGGAAGTAGGGGAAGGAGATGTGTAGATTCATTTCAGAAAACCTTACAAACTATATGTTCGTTAAGATTCTTTGTAACGTCTTACAGATTCCTCATTAATGAATGAATTAAACTCTCACATGTGTTCATGTTTTATTTGTACATTTTGCATAGAAATATATTTGTGATTTTACTTTTGAAATAACTAACCTTTAACAGATGGAACGGGTTGAAGAGTGAATGGAAAATGGGTAGCGGCAACAAGTGTATACAACTCTTTTAAGAATTTTGAAGGAAAAGAAAAAGAATTTTGGATTAGAGGTCATGTTCGTCCCTTATTTCTCCAGAGAGGCTGCACTACCTTGCTCTGGGGAGCTACCCGATCCCAAGGGCTGGCATTCTCAGTGCCACCACCAGACTAGGTGCCCTCTTGTTTCAGATGCATCCCTTTAAGGGGGCCAAAGCCATCGGTCACTACAAACAATGTCACAATAACTCTACGCTAGACCCACCGCTCTCGATACCGGCTTGACCCTCACAAGCCAGCTTCGGCGATCCGGGTCTGAGAGCAAAGTCGCTCGCGGGGTGACGTCATCACGCAGCGGAGGTCGGGAGTGGTTTGACGTCACTGCGTCGCGCGAGCCGCGGGTCCGGTCTCACCTTTTTTCTGCTCCGGGGCGGCCCCCAGGTGTAGAGAAGGGTGAGTGTGACGTCATCTCTTCGCGCGGCAAAGAGGGGGACAAAAATCCCCACCTCCACCCACCCTACCCCCTGGCTCCCTTCTTTGGTTATTGGTCCCCCCGAAGTGTGAGCGGAGGTCTGGGCAGCGTTTGTGGTGCGCGCGCACTCTGTAGGTCTTACGACCCTGGCCCTCCGCCGGCCCAGAATCCTCACAACCCTCGTTGCAGGCAGTATTCACCTTTGAAACTGGAAGGACCGAAGGCTCAGAGAAGTGAAGTAATTTGCACAAGGTTACACAGCAGCGCTGCAGTTCAGATAGTCTATTAATTATCTTCACTATAAAAGGAACATAACTATATCTTACGAAATGTTTTAAGGTGATCCATGTGACGCGCCTTACATCCTCCTTACCTGTGTGGGTTTGTCCATCCACCCTAGAGCAGCGACCAATTCTGATTTCTAGCCGGGTCCCCAGCACCTCGACACAAAGGAGAAGCAGTATGCACACTGAGCAAAAAGGCCTGCAGCCGAGATGGCAGCAAAAGGTAAGGTCAAAATGTAGGTGTCTGAGCTGCAGTCTGCTAGTCACACGTAGGCACACATCCAAATGTGCGCCTTATCTCGTTTTTTTTTATTGGCATCACCCTTCTTACACTCATCCAGACTGAAAATCTAGTAGTCAAACTGCCCTTTCACACCCTGCACATCTAATTAGTCACTGACCCCGTCTTGTTTTCCTTCCTGTTCTCTATTTCCACTAGATAAAACTTCATCCAATTACCTCTGACTTCTTCAGATGGGTTCATTTGTTTATTTTATTGATGCTAAGCATCCTTAATTATCACCGAATGTTGCCAATTTTACCCCCTTTCAGCACGTAGTGGGATTATGCTTCCTGGCCCCGGATCAATGAGGTGTAAGTGGATGTGACAGGTTTCTTTCAGACACAGCACTTAATTGCCACTTTGAGGTGCTCCAGAGCTCTTTTCCCTCTCTCTCTCTTTCCCAGCAACAGGCAACTTTCCAATGTCAAAGGTTCAGAAATAGCCAAAATAAAACCAATGAATTGCTGGCAACGATTTATTGTGCACACACTGAAAAGACAGTTTGCAAAACTGGATCATTCAAACCAGGACGTGGAATGAGGCTCAGGAGTATGCTGTTACAAAGCTGCTTACATAAGTGAAAAAACAGTTCTTAACAATGATTGGTAATTAAGCTAAATTAATGACTACACTGGTTTTATCTACTCAGAGGACCTTCAAGGCTGGTCTCGGTTTGCTTTTGATTTTAACACGACATGGTAGTAGCCTCCTCAGCCTGCATCCCTGGTTAAAACGAGCAGAGCCCCCATGTTGACCCATGATGAACATGTTGCATGGGAAAGAGAAACATCTTTTGTCTTGAGACACAGACTTTTGGGGTTGCTGGTTAACACAGCACACTCTACCCTCTTCTGACTCAAGTATCTTCAGTAGTGAGCAAAACAAATTTGGTCTCTGTCCTAGTGGAGCTTCTTATAGCAGAAGTATCTCAATAAAATACAGATCTGATCATGTCCCCTTCCCTGCTTTAAAACTTGCATATCTTCCTAGTACTTGAAGGATAAAGTTCAAACTCTTAGCCTGGCATTCTAGGCCCTTTACCACTTGGCTGCAAACTGCACTTCTATTTCCTCTCTCCCATCCATCTTACAGTGCAGCCAAACTGGACTACTGGCTATTTACTGCCTTAATCCGTGTGCTTTCAAACCCCTGCCTGAACCTTCACCCTGGGATACCCTCTGTCCATGTTTACAGATCCTGGTCTACTACCCTGTGCCTGTTAAATATGTCATGCCACCCTCTACTAACCCTTATAGAACATTCATAACAATCTTAATTATACGTTTCAGTCATTTTCTTCATCCAGGTCTGTAAATCCTTGAGAAGTCCATCTTACTCGCCATTGGATCAGGGATATATAAGGACTTAAATATTTGTTAAATGAGTGGATGGCTTATTGGATCCTTCAGGGCTTCTTAGAAATGCTGTCAATTCCGTATATTAGTTTCCTATTGCTGCTGTAACAAATTACCACACAATGGCTCAAAGCAACACAGATTTAGTGTCTTACAGTTCTGTAGGTATTGGCAGGACTGTGTTCTTTTCTGGAGGCTCTTGGGGAGAATCTGTTTCCTTGCTTTTCTGAGCCACTATAGGCTGCCCACATTCCTTTCCATGTGAGCCCCTTATTTCATCTTCAAAGCCGACCGTGTGGCATCACTCTGAGCATTCTTCCACAGTCACTTCTCCCTCTAACTATGAACTCAGCCAGGAAAATTTCTCCAGTTTTAAGGATCCAGGAAACTCTTCCCATCGCAATACACTTAATTTAATCAGTTTTTCCTTTTTACCATGTAAGGTAACATATTTACAGTTCCAGGGATTAAAACAGGGACATGGGGCGGGGGGGGGGGAGGCATTTCTGCCACATTTCAGCCTTTTCTTGCTCCTTTCTCTAGCTTGGCATTTATCCTTCAACATCAGCCAAATGAAGCCTTCCTTGAAAAGCGTGAGGGGTCTCCTAGAAGAAGGGAAACCATATATGGTCCAAACTTGGACACTTTTGAGAGTGAAAGGGAGTATTATTAACATTTACACCAGGGCCGGCCGAGTGGCTCAGTTGGTTAAGAGCTCGCTCAAGGGTTTGAGCTCTGAGCAACAGCAGTTCGAGTCCAGCCCGAGCTGAGCAGCCGCTGAGCTGCCAACAGGTGGCAGGATGGCTCAGCTAAAAAAAAAAAAAAACCATTTACACCAAGCCAACAGGTGTACAGGCCAAAAGGTATGGCAGGATGAAATGGGTGTGTGACCTTTGGAGACCCTACCCTGAGTTGGAGCCACATTGTTATGGGCTTCTACCCTCTAGCCTGGTCTCAGAGAGAGATCAAGGAAAAGGTGAGAGGCTTTACTTTCCTCCCAAAATGCATGCTTTAGGCGGGAGATGGGACACTTTAATATGACTCAACAGGCTTAACAGAATGTTTTTCTCCACTGTTTTAACAACATAAAAATAACAATATGATATTTAGTTAGGGACATTAGACTTTTATCTCTGATATATATTACAAATATTATTTGACATTTGTCTTCAATTTTGTTTATGATGAAGCCTCCTTTAGTAGGTAATTTCAATATATCTTGTAGCCTCGTGACAAAAGATGAAAATAATTCAAGGTCAGGAAACTGGAGATCTGCTCATATTGGACTTGTAAATCTTGATTTTCAGCTTTGGGGAGAAAGGGAAAAATATACTAAAGTAAGGATCTCATAGTTTTTTCCTTATCTGATCAAGGCTTTCCATTTCAAAGTCTGTTAATCCTACATCATAGATAGAGCCAGAAGATTGTTCAGGAAATCATTTTGTGATCTTATACAAATAAGATGTGTTTACCCAAGGTTAGTTATTACTTTCTAGTTGCAAAATAGTGACTTTCCAATTCTATCACACTCTCTGCATTTTTCTATATAAAAGAGCTGTCCTTTTCCCCCACCTCACACCTTTCTTTTCCTTTTCATCTTATATTTTTAATGACATTCATTAAATGGACTTAACAGTTTTTGTTTTTATTTATTTAATGTGTTATAATCCATGACTATCTGGTTGGATTTTTGTTCTTTTTTTAATTCTTAAATTGTCTCAGATTTTGTCAGTAACAGTCCCTTTAAGGCATTACTGTAAACTTTTGACCTATCTCCATTAGCCTTTGAGTTCTTTGTTGCTCTCTGGCACAAGCTACTTCAGGCTCACCTTGTACTTTGAACTTGTAGTTCACTTTGTACTGAACTGCCGTTTCTCCAGGGAACTCTTGTTCCTTCAGTGAAGTGTGATATTTAGAGACCAACATTATCTGGGCTTTAGGTGTACTTGTTGCTACTGGGGTGTCATTCCCTCTTGGCCCTTTTAGTTTCCCTTTGGCATGACCCCCCTTTCATTCTTTTGTTTGGCTGAGTAGTATTTCACTCTGGGAATATAGCTTTTTTTCTTTTTTAAACCAGTCTCTTATGGAATAACATTTAGGTTATTTCTAATATTTTGCTATTACAAATAATGCCACAATGATTAACATTACACATACGTTGTTTCAGGTATGTGGTTGTGCATCTTCGGGAAGAATTCCTACCAGTGAGATTGTCAGATTAGAAGGTAAATGCAAATGTGTCTTTGTTAGATGTTGCCCAATTCTCCACAGAGGTCATACCATTTGTATTTCCACCAGCGTTGAATGAACATGTTTTCTCACAGCTCACCAACAGAATTACAGAATATGTGGTCAAACTTATACATTTTTGCAAACATGATAGCTGAGAAATGGTATCTAAATGTAGTATTAATTTGCATTTCTCTAATAGTGAAGCTAAAGATTTTTTCACTTGTTTAAGGATCATTTGAATATCATTTATCGTTAACCATATGTATGTCTTTTGTACATTTTTCTATAGGGTTTTGGTTATTCCTTTTTTCTTGATTTTTTTTTTTTAAGATTTTATTGGGGAATTAGGGGATGGGAACAGCTCTGGGGAATCGGGGGGAAGGGGAACAGACAAGTTGCTGTTGTTTTGTTCTTGTATAGTTGTGGAGGCTGTTGCTTCACTGGCCCAAACTGGTACCATCATTGCGCTCTTCCCGGGCGAGGCAGATCAGTCGCCGGCCTCTGGATGGCCACTCACTGCAGCTGCTGGCCACTCACACTGGCTGCCGGCTACATATGGTAGCCCATGGCAACCCACTGCCACAGGGGCTGCAGCCTACGCCGTCGCCGGCAAGGTTGAGCTGTTGTTCACCATCTTAGCTGTAGAAGGCAGTGTCACTGGACCTCATATGTGGGATCTGAACCGGGGCCCTCTGGCGTCCCAAGTCAGTTCTTAACCAACACGCCACTCGGCCGGCCCTTTTCTGGATTTTTAAGTGTTCTTTTTTCATTAGCAACACAAGATCTTTACCTATGATACACAGTCACTCCTCAGTATCCAAGGGGGATTGGTTCCAGGCCCCCCGGAGGATACCAAAATCCAAAGAAGCTCGAGTTCCTTAAGTAAGATGGCATAGTATTTGCGTATAACGTACATATCCTCCTTTAAATTATTTCTGTGTTACTTATAATACCTAATACAATGTGAGTGCTATGTAAATAGTTGTTATACTATATTGCTTAGGGAATAATGACAAGAAAAAAAGTCTGTACATATTCAGTACAGAGACAGTTATCGGAGGCCTGCTACATAGTACACATCAGCAACAATATAATTTTTCCTACATATTTTCTACCTGTTGGTTGAATCTGCAAATGCAGAACCAGTGAATACAGAAGCCTGACTGTATTTTGCAAATATTAACTCCTAGTTTGATATTTGTCTTTTGACTTTGTTTATAATATTTGCTACAATGTTTATTTTTATGTAGTCAAATTTATCACCATTTTCTTTTATTGTGTCAGGATGTTGAGTTATAGTTAGGCAAAAACTACTATAAATTTTGACATTAATTTTTTTCCTATCAGAAGTGATTTAAAATCTACAAACTTATATACTTATTTTGAGGTTTCAATACATAATGGTGTAGTCATCAGTAATCTAATGACAAAGGTTTTACATCTCTTTTTTTCCTTCTTTTTAAAGAATTCTTTTAGAATAATCTGATGTTAACCTTTTAAAAAGCAATTTTAGAATATATATTGAGGCATAAAACTTTTCAACCTTGAAATACTGTCTTAGGGAGAAAAAATCTTAAACCCAACACCTAATCCAGTGCCTGGAATTCATTGGGTATTCTGTCAATATTTAATAAATGAAGGGATAAATATGGGGGAGGAGAAATACAGACATGAAGATGTTTGTTGTCACTGAATTATTACATGAAAAATTGGCTGCATGGTAAAAAGCCAGCAGTAGAGAAATGGTTAAATAATTTATGGTATATTTACATCATTGAAAATGATGTAACACTGAAAAATGATGGAACTGAAAGATATATAATATGGTAAAGATATATAATACATGGCTGTGATGATAGATGAAAAAAGCAAATTACCAAATTATCAAAAAAGATCTATTGAAGAAAAATAAAGACCAGAAGAAAATGCAGCAAAGTGCTAACAGAGAATTTTATATCCCTATTTTTCAAACTTTCTGTTTCTGATGAAAAACTAATTTTGTTAAATATCCATTCTCTGCTCCCTAGCTGTTCTTAGAATCTGAGCGCAGTGAGGGGAAGATCACTAGAATGTGAAGTAAGCCATGGGTTAAGAGGATTAAACCTTTGCACAGAGGTACAGTATAGAATTCTCACCAAACAACTGACAGTAGGAGCTTGATTATGTACAAAGACCACAGTAAAGGCTTTTCACAGTTTTAGGTGGCTGTGTGGCTTTGAGTCTCAGATCTCTTATCAGTAAATGAGGATAATAATGGTTCTATCCCATAAAGTTAATGTGAGGATTAAATGAGATAATACATATAAATGCTAGAACAGAACCTGGCCTATAGTGAGTGCTCAATACCTGTTAGCTATTTCGTTTTTTTTGTTTGTTTTTTGGTTTCTGGGGTTTTTTTCTTAAATTATAAAAACTTGGTTACAATGCCCCCATGTATCTGTCTATACATTGCAATATTTCTGGTTTTTTAAAGAATTTCTTATTACTTTTGATCAGTGCAGTTGAAATGACAGTTCTAAAGCTGCATTATCTACTCATGTTTTATATAGGCTCTGAAAATTAAACAGCTCTTTTTAAAAAATTATTTATTTTTCAGTTACAGTTGACTAAACAGCTGTTTAGAAATATTTTTCCTCTAAATACAAAAATAACATGCACCCTCTCTATAAAATTTGGGAAGTACTAAGAACTATAAGGAATTCTAACCATCTATAATGCAACCACCCAAACATTTGGGTGCATTTTATATTTTCTGTGTAAGTTTGTGTGTATATGTAGAGTTTTATTTTTACAAATTAAGGTCAGTGTATTTTTTACACAAGGTTACATTATAGAATAAATGTAATATGTATCATTTGCTTTAAAACAAGAGCAGAAAGGCAACTGTGTAAATAATGAGGGTTATCTCTCGTAACCAGAGGATGATATCTTGTTACCACAATCTCTCATGTTCCCCATTAATAGGCAACTACAGTAGATACATTGAACTGTCCCATTTGGTTTAGAGAAACAAATTTAATGGTAAAATCTGTATTGCCATATTAATGTTAAATTCATTGCATGATAATTACATTTTTAAAAAATCTTGGAAAGCAAAGAACTAGGTTCAGCTTAATCAGTTCCTCCTATAATAGTTTTGATAACATTTGTTACGTCTCCCCATGAGATTTGGTGAGAACAAAACAAGGTACTTATGAAAATATTGCTCATATGGTTAAGTCATCTTATAACCTATTTATTTATTTATTTATCTATCTATTTATTTATTTTAAAGATTTTATTGGGGAGTTGGGGGAAGGGAACAGCATTGGGGAATTGGGGAAGGGGAACAAACAAATTGTTGTCCTTTTGTTCTTCAGTCTAGTTTTGCAGGACATTGTTTCACTGGCCCATGTTAGTATTATCATTGCACTCTTTCCGGGTGAGGCAGATCGGTCGCTGGCCACTTCACAGCCACTCACAGTGGCTCACGGCAGCTCACGAAAGCTCATGCCAGCTGCTGGCCAACCCCACTGCAGCCAATGCCGATGCTGGCGACTCACGGCAGCCCAGCTCCAAGTTGAGCTGTTGTTCACCGTCTTAGCTGTAGAGGGCGCAGCGTCACTGGCCCTCACGTGTAATCCGAACCAGGGCCCTGCTTCTCAGAGCTGGCGTCCCAAGTCAACTTCTAACCAACACGCCACTTGGCCAGCCCCTTATAACCAATTTAATATTTGTGTGGCACTTTCAAAGTATAATGTGCTTTCTCATGCTTGAAATAATTCTATCTGTTAACAGTCAACACTATGCTAAAAATCTGGTGGACTGAAGCCCCTATGACACTATAGCCCAAGTTATGTTAAATAATCATTAGCACTACGGAAGGAGATGTCTCTGTCTTCTTTCTGTTTCTCGGCCTCTCTCTAGAGAGAGAGCTCATGTAAACAAGAGCAGGCAAACCCCGGGTTCTGCAGAAATCCTCCAGATGCTGTCCTTGGGCTGTTCATCCACACCCTGCAGCCTCTGTGGGTTGTCCCTCCATGCCACCTACAAGGGACAAGCACTTCAGGACTCTATCTGAAATTCCCAGTCTTCCCTAGTTTGGTAGAACTCGATTTGTTCATCATCAGAAAACATCAGCTTTTTACACTGACAAATTAATTTTAACATATATCAGTCACTGCTGCTGCTTTATTATTTGCCTTTCTTTATTCTTATGCCCTGTAGGAATTTTTTTTTCCACCTAGGAATACTTTGAAAATCAGATAGGAATATTTAACTGATATTTACCTTTCAGACTCTTTAAATCTTTAACAAAGGAACATTTCTGAAGTGTTCTGCTTTTGGTTGATACAGATCCATGGTAATATGTTATTTTGGTAAATTTAACATTTTATTTTATTATATATCAATAACAGAATAAAATGCATGACAATAATAAATATCAAGACTTAAATATTCACAGCCTCTTTCCTCTTACATATTAAGGAATATTTTGCTATTATCCACCTAACCTTTTCCCCTTCCCTCACTTTTGGTCTTCATTAGTAGGTAGAGTGAAGAGTGCACAGGTGTGTGTGTGTGTGTGTGTGTGTGTGTGTGTGTGTGTGTTGGAGGGCATAAAGGAACATGCTAGGGAGAGTAGGAGCAAATGCCAAAGAAAGATTGGTAAAATTTACATTGAAAAGGGAAGAAATGACTGATGGAAGAAAATAGATTGGATCCCAGGGAAGAAAGGGAGAAAGGGGGAAAGGGGAAGAAAAGTGAAGAGCGTTCAAGTTTTTGAAAGAATATTGATAGAGATGTTGAGGAATAGCTGTTGTATGGGGGAGGGATGTTGAAATGACAGGTAGGAAAAAGCTACTTTATAAGTTTTGCTCTGCTTTGAGTGTATCTGCCCACTACAACCACTGCACACACCCAGAGCTTTCTGAAGTGAAGATTTTAATTGCTTTCAATATTTTTAGCGACTGTTTTCTCTGAATTTTACATTATGCTAAGACTGGGCCACAAAGGACTTGACTTAATTCAAACTACCAAAATGCTCAGAAAACAGAAGATATTTTCTATTCAGGCATTTTCCATAGACATAAGTTAGTGACTCATAATTTTAAGATCAGGAAGATTAGTGCTTACAGCTCTTTTTGAATTTGTCTGGTAGGTCTTTCAGTTTTCATCGGAAGGCCCCCCCCCCCTACACACACACACACACAAAAAAAAGATCAGGAAGATTAGGGAAAATAGTAAGGGATGATGCAGTTTTTCAAAGATGCATATTTGAGGTTTTAATCATTTTGTGAAATTTCAAAAAAACTCTTCTATGAAGCATTTAATATCGCTACTCCCCTGAGGTCTTCCTGAGTCAGAAACTCTTTTAAGCCAGTCTTTCAGCATTTTTCATATATCTCCGTTATTACACTCAGTTTATTCTGCCTGGCTTATTTTTTCAAAGAACCTTATTATAAAAGTTATGTATGTTGGCCTTGAAGTATTCCTTTTTTCCCCCCACAGCTTTATTGTAGTATAATTGACAAATAAAATATGTATTACATATATAATAATACATTAAAGTGTACAACTTGTGATACACATTGTGAAAGGACTCCTACAATCAAGTTAATTAGCATCACCTCACATAGCTCTTTTTTTTTTTTTTGGTGGGAATGCTTAAGATGTATTCTTTTAGTAAATTTCAAGTATACAAAACAGTATTATTAACTATTGTCACCATACTGTACATTAGATCCTTAGAACTGAATTTATCTTTTTTTTTTAAGATTTTACTAGGGAACTGGGGGAGGGGAAACAGACAAGTTGCGGTCCTTTTGTTCTTCAGTCTAGTTGTGGAGGACGTCGCTTCACTGGCCCAAGTTGGCACCATCATTGCCCTCTTCCCGGGAGAGGCAAATTGGTCGCCGGCCTCTGGACGGCCGCTCACAGTGGCTGCTGGCTGCTCACGCTGGCTGCTGGCTACACACGGTAGCTTATGGAAGCCCACTGCAGCAGGGGCTGCAGCCTACGCCATCGCCTGCGACTCATGGCAGCCCAGCTCCAGGTTGAGCTGTTGTTCAGCATCTTAGCTGTAGGGG